TTAGACTTAATATTGTATTGATACTCAGATTATTTTTTATCGGGGGTGATGGAGTTGTGGGGATTCTCTATCACCATTCCAGAGAGGTATTATCTTGAATTACTGTATCATATATATTTATATTAGCTTGTTAGGAAGACAAGTTGTTGATGAGGTGTCATGAGTATACATTAATGATCTCAAAATGTCGAATTTTAATGGGTGTGTGTCCCCAATGGAAGCGAATAATGACCATCTGAATCTTATTAGACAACTGAATAACCAATTACTTTTATATATTTTTTCAAAGTCATTAAAATCATAGCAGTTAATTATTTTGTATGTAATGATTTTGTCTCAGTACACTTGTGCATTTAGAAAAAATCCAGGTACACTATTTGTAGAGGAAACTTCTGTGTAGCTATGCAGTGGGAGTCACCGACTCAGGAAGGAGACACGGTAGGAGCAGTAGCTTTGATGTCAAACACATGGTGGTTTATTTGGAGTTAACGGCCGGAGGATTCACATCACAAGTCCAAGAGTCAGAGGTTCTGACTTCACGGTAGAGTTGCCACGTCAATTCTGGAGAGCCTCTCTCTTGCCAGCCCATCTAACTGGTTTCGCAGAGAGTAAACAACATATTTGAGAAGATAGCCTAAACAGTGTGGGAACACTGAGCTACTTGCGTCGGACACTTATGACCTCGAAGATTTCACCTTGGAGTCCACAAATACAGAGAAGGAAGTGTCCCAGTGTACCCACAACACAGACCATCTGTGACCCAGTATTGACCGGTCACAGAATGGGAACAATAACATTATTGGCTAAGCAGCCTGTGTCCTTAAAGGAGGTAAACAGACATCAAGGTTTGTCCTGTATGTCACATCTTGGCGTCTATGACAATTATTTCCATAACACTATTAATAATCTTTTTTTAGAAATATACAGATATAAATTCAACATACTGTACCCTATAATTTGAAGCTTATTTCAATTTCATTAAGCCTCAAATTGAGTATGTGTGTCCCCAATGGATGCAAATAATAACCATCTGAATTGTATAAGGCAACTGAATAACCAATTACTATTACAGTCATTAAAATCATAGCTGTGAATGATTTTTGCTTAAATGATGTATAATGATGTAGTCTCAGTACACTTCTGCAATTTATAAAAAGTTGTTACCAGTATATTATTTGTGTAGTTTTCACAAATATACAGATACGTATTAATTCCAAATACCTTAACATTATAAGCTTAATTCAATTTCAATAAGCTCAATTCCCATGTTAAAGTTCATTCAGGTCTAAAAATGTGACTCAAATTAGCTCACTTAAAGTGCACTTATCATGCTATTTTTAGGCAATAGCATAGGTCTCAGATATATAGAAATATATAAAAAACATGTCTATGAAGTGTTTTGCACAAAATACCAAACAGATCACCCATCCTAGCCATGCCTCATATCCCTCTATTTCACTTCCTGTTTCAAAAGTGCTGATTTTGGGTATAAAACTTTAATAAAATAAAACATTGATACAAAATACAAAAAGGAGGGGGCTGAGCTCATGCGGGACCCGGCAGCTACTGTCTAAACTAAATGCTGCCGTGATGAAAACGCCATATCATGGATTATCAAGGGTTATCTCTGAAACAGTATGGAGCTCAAAGGCTTTCTCTCTTGCCAGTTATACCACAAGGTGAGTTCCTTTTTATATCCTGCTTCTTCACACCATGGATGTATAATAAGAACTGGAGACAGCGTGGAAGGTGGGGCCTCATTCATTCCTATGAGAGCTGCTCATTGGCGCATGATGACAAAATGGCCCAACTTTTGAGAGAGTGAAACGTCACAGATTACCCAGCATGCCTGATAAGCAGTGTTGGGTGTAACGCGTTACAAAAGTAACGGAGTTACAGTAATATATTACTTTTTGCTGTAACGAAGTAATATAACGCATTACTAATGAAATGTGGGTAATATATTACCCGTTACAATGCCCAGTAACGCAGTTACAACACATTTTAACCCGAAATTAAATGGTGTTTTGTTTTTTAAGAATGTACTAACATAGCGAGACATTCCGACACCCGAGACAAATTGTGCGGGTAGATTAGTAAACCTGGTGTGTTTACCCTTCAGGCTTCGCGTCGGGATCTTCGGGGCAGTTGAATGTTATGCAACCATTCAAAAAAGAGAACGGAGCGAAAAATACAAACAATACATTGTGTGCATCATTTCCAAAGTGCTTCCACAGCAGTGACACACATCTGATCTGTGGATAATCATTTATACGAAAATGGTTAAAGCAACCATCACTAAACGCCAGCAACACTGCATCTACTGCAGACAGTAGCAACAGGTCAGATGGGGACATCACGTTACCCTCGTTGTGGACACTAGCTTACTCCCGCCTGAGTCGCCGCCCTCGCCCCCGGAGCAGCAGTCTTCGTCTCCCCAAACTACACCGCCCCTCTGCGGCCCGCAGGTGCCAGGATACCACGGCAAAACAGAGCCTGCCCAGGTATATCTAAACAATTACCCGCCTGTACAGTGGGGTTAGTTAGGCGGTCATTTTGCAGCTCGTGGTATAAAAATAGACAATGGCTAGAATATTCATGTGAAAATAGTGCCATATTCTGCCATGCCTGTAGAAATGTTGGGTCAAAAATAATGCATACAATAGCACAGATGCCTTCACCACGAATGGCTACAAAAAGATCTCATATCCAAAGCTTATCAACAAGCTGATGTTGCAGCTGAAATGTTCTCCAGGTCACAAAGTCAACCTCACATGATGATGTGATACCAGTTTTCAAGCACAGTAAATATTCTTCTCCCAGAGTATATGATGGGACCAAGGTGATGTTTAGTACATGGTTTTAATAATACTTTTGCTTTTCAATGTTTGCCATTTCAAACCATGAGCTGGTTCAAATCATATGTAACTTGATTTACAATATGTTCTCATTTGTTTTATCAGTACAGTTTTGAAGCTTTTGTGCTTTTCTTTGCCATAGTCCACTTTGGACTATATGAGATATTTCAGGATTGCACTTTTAACTCACTTGAAATGTTCTCACTTGCTTGGTTTCAAAACAGCAAATGCCATAATCTGTTCATTGGGGACCATCAATGCTATTTTTCATTGCTGTTGCCGGCCACTATTGCTCATGTAAACCTACTACTGCTGCACCCCCTGTAATCTCAGAGGCACCCCGAGTCATTTTGTTCTGGAACCGGGCCTGTACATGGCCATATACTAAACTACAGAGCCCATTCCGTGTCCTGTTATTGTTTACTTCCTGTCTGCCTTCTTCTGGTGATTTATCTGACGTCCAGCGCTCCGTCTTTTAACCTCTTTTCCTTTCTCTTTCTTGATCCTCCTTAGCAACCTTCATTATAGTCCTTGACAGTGGTCTGTACTGTATTAACAACATGTCAGTGTCACATGTTAAGAATTTACAATCAGAATCGAGTATTCAACTAAGCCGTGTTGAATACCGTTTTAGCATTTAAAATACCTAGCCATTCTTTTGCGGTTATTTTGGTGAAAGTAACTCAAAAGTAACTCAAAAGTAGTGTAACTCATTACATTTCAGAGACAGTAATATTGTAATGTAACTTATTACTTTCAAAAGACAGTAATAAGTAATATGTAATATTACATTTTGGAAGTAACTTGCCCAACACTGCTGATAAGTACCCGTATGTGTGCTCATAGAGCATGCGCAACTTTAACCACGCCCCCCAAAAGGCTCGTTCACATCAAGCACGTCAATTTGCGTACACGTAACAGCACCGCGCGTTCTGGATTGTTATGATGGATTTGATATTAACGAATAACGAGGCGGCAGTTAGCAGCTAGCAGCTAGCGGCTGGCTTCCTCGGGCGATATCATATGGTATAGCTAATTAATCTGGGTCAAAACGTGTTGTGCCCACATGCAAAGGTTTAAAACTTTGGCTTATCCCTGCGTGGTATTATAGTAATAGCAAACAGCAACGTTCAACTCCTTTAATGGTATATTGCAAGTGCAATAAGAAGCTACAGGGACGTTAATCTACGTCGGTAATATTAACTTTATTTAATACAAGATTTACATCATACAGCCCATGCAGTATAATATTTTACAAATTATGAATTACAGCAAACATGTGCAATATATCCATTATTACAGCTCCGTGGGCTGGCAGTAAGGCGATATGGGTTCATTCTTATTGTGCATCCATGGGTAAAGAGAAACTCATGTAGTACTGAACACGTCACATCACATGAACGTGCCGGGCGGCGCGGTCCCGTGGGTTAGATGCGCGTTCATAATGCAGAGGGAAATAACTCTCAGAATAACGTTATTAGCACATTATTACAACTTGAGGAACGAATATTTTTAATAAGGGCTATACAAGTGTTCATACTGGGTAGTTTATTTAGTTTAAAAAAAATTATCCAACGATTTACAGACCACTCTTTCCCCATGTAAGTCAATGGGAAAAAGTGTTTCCGGGCCTGGCAACCAAACGGAAGTGTAGTATCGCCGTTTGGCCACCACAAATATTTTCATCTGAGTCCGGCGCACTTCCTGGGGGCTTGCTTCACACACATGCTCTCCAGTACAGGTTAGCTCTGAGTGTTAGCGATGCTAATGTAAACACCGACCATATTACGTCCAACACAGTCGGGCAGTGTTTCTGATAGCAACTTCCTGATAGGGCCGTGGGTCCACATTTCCGATATTACGTCATATCGCACGCAAATCTGGTTCAGCTCCGTTGTACCCCCCGTTTTACAGATTTGGGTACGGAGGAAAAGGGTTTTATTTTATGACCAGGGACACATATTTATGTATAAAATACATCAAAAAGTCAATTTTGCATGATAGGTCCCCTTTAAATTCAAATAGTAGCATTCAAGCCTTGACTAATTGTTTAATTGTTTCCAATGGTTCTCCAACAGAAGGCTAATGCTTAATTTGGAACATAATTGCCATCATGCTCACAAGTTGCTCTCCATTTTGCAGGTAATGAGCCGTCACCGCTGGGCACAGTGGAGAGCTACAACCCTGTGAAGCGGCGCTGGGAGTATGTGGCGCCAATGCCGACCGCACGCTGCTCCTCCGCCCTCCTGCAGATACCCAGCATGATGTTCGTCATCGGCGGAGTCTCCCAGGGACCCAGTAATGCAGTGGAAGCCCTCTGCTTACCGGAAACAGTGTGACACTAGCGCTCATGCTAACACACGCAGGAAAACATCATTTGTATTCATGTGTGTGCAACAGAAACACATCAATTGGATCCAAAACATCGGGCTAAGATACATTTCTACCCTTATGTCAAACTGATGGATTCCTCTCATAGACTGGGAGGCAAGTTTTTGATATTTAACAAGCATTTTGAGGCAGATTGTGCTGGACGATGAATTCAAGATGAAGGACGTTCAGGCCGGCTGCTATAACTGCCAGGGACAGAAAACTGACAGCTTTTCTACATTGGCTAAAAGCAGAGGAAGAACAAAAAGAAAAAGAAAAAAACCGACACACACATATGGTGTATGGAGAAACAACACGCCTTTGAACTGTTAAGCATTTTTCAGAATTAAAGCAGGGTACTTTTCTGGATATTTAAGGAAGATAGGGCCATATCTGTATGTATTTGCTCCCCTGCTGCTGCGACAGCCAGATCGGACACTTTTCTATGACTTCAGACACAACAGTTGTATTTTAGAAGGTGGTGTTCTGTGAAAGTAAACGTATTTTCTTTTTGTTGCAGTGTTTTATATGTGTGGAAGTTGGCACTGCTTGCAACAACATCAACAACAGCGGCCCCTAGATGCGTTCAGATCGCCGTTTTTGAGAACCAGTGATGCGTTGGCAGACTTTGACTACAGTCTTTGCGTTTCTTTTCTTTTCAAGTTTGCAGTTAAGCTGACTGTGGTTGATATTGTCAGCATCTGGCTTTGCACCCCATCTGTCCACCTCTGCTACAACATGAGTAATCAATCCCAATCCATCATCAAGGCTCAAACAGTCCTTCACACTGTAGCACAAGGATGCAGCTGCACGTGAAGGGAATGCAGAGTTAAACCTGCCGCACTGAAGCATCCACACAGATAAATAATAGCCTCAACATCCAGACATCTTATATTCCCCCTAAGTTTTATGATGGATAGTGGTACGATAGATTATTTTACTCAACTTGATATCAGCCACACAATGAGGAATCATTTTGAAGAGCTGATGATACCTTGGCAACATTTTTGAAGCAATTTGTCAGATTAGGTTTTAGCAAGCAGAATATTGAAAAAAAGGTCAAAAGTCTCAGGTCATGGATTTTTGTGATTTTGGGTTAGGGTTCCCGGGAGTATAGAACTGTTTTGGTCTGACCCTACTGTTGTGTTGGCCATCATGATCATAGTTCCCGCATATTTGCATAACCAATGTTGATAGTTTCTAGGATAGCCAACACATTTAGGTTAAAATGATTCTGAAAGGTTTGAAGCTTTCTCAGGAAGCGACGTGTGATTAAGAAAGACATGGACACATACCCAAAGAAACTTATTCTGTACAGTCCCATGTATTTAAAAAATCTTTCTGTCACAGAACAGCAGTATAGTGCCATCTCTCAAAAATAATCTAATCAGATTTTTGAAAGTAGCCACTTCTAGACTAATCCCTTTTCAGGACACGGTTTCGACATTCATGTTAAGGAAATGTAGGAATATGTATCATGTTATAGCTAAATTAGTGATCATGATATTGCAGAAAAGTACATGTTTTTACAACAAGAACTATTTCTTGTTGATGCGATAACTTTGTTGTAATGTCTTGAAAATATGTAGTTATATCGTGATTATCATCTTGTTAGGGTTGGGGTTAAACATGATACAGGTCAGTTTTATTTTTTCTGACATGGCAGCAATATGCTTCTTTAACCTACAAATGAATGGCAAATAAGTATGTTGTGGGACTGCTTGGAGAAGTCTCTTTGGTTGTGTTAACACATGATGTGCCATAACTGGGTTGACATTGGAATCCACTGTAACTGCTGTGAATCGAAGTTGACTACAGCTGCTACAAACCTTTCGGAGCCCCAGTCCAACAGTGAGTGAGCAACTGATCCCCAAAAGACAGACTTTTGTGAGGAATTCTGTTTGTTTGGGCTGAGGCGAGGATCTGTGGACAACAGTTAGAGATGAAAGATAATGGTGGGAGCTGCAGTGCAGTATTCTTTCTGAACGATTCAGTGAGTTGTGGACAGCAGACGCGGTGGGGCGGGAAACAAAGGAATTACCCAGTGGACTGTGTTACCTTGTGGCAAGCAGCCTCTGTTTGTCTTTCTTATGCTGCCATACAATAGCATTATCCAATTTCACTTGAAGAGACACTGTTCAGTTCCTCCATTCAGAACGTTAGGGTTAGGCTTAGCATTTAGTCCAAGAATCACAGACTTTCAATCAAATATTTTTCTTGGCACATTATAATGTAAAACTTGAAGTAAATGGCCCTAAGACTTAGTAAAGGTTCCATTTCAACCAAAGTGTTTGAAGCACTTGGTTGTTTTTGTTAATAGTTGTATCATTGGGCAATGGTTTTACCAGCTTCATTGCCCTTTTACTCCTTATTGCTGACTGGAAATTATTTTTGTCATGTATATATTTATTTGCCCATTTATTTGATGACCTAGTGATTAAAGGTAGGGTGTGCTTCAACATGATTTATGATAGTTACATTTAATAATAATAATAATAATAGATTTAATTTGTTAGCGCTTTTACAGGTGCTCAAAGACGCTTCACAGATATAGTGAAGGGAAAATAAAAGGAAGGAACAACAAATAAATATATAGTTAAAGTTAAAGTCAAATAATACAAAAACAATCACACATTAAAAGCCAGATTGAAGAGGTGAGTTTTTGTGAGTTTTTTGAAGGTGGTGAGGTCAGAGGTCATTTATAATAAGAAAGATAAAACAAAACGAAAACCGCATTGGATAGAGAGATAGGACTGGACAATGGTCTATGTTGCCACTCTAACACACACACACTAAGCTCCGGTACAGTACAGTCCTGCAGCAAAATTGCAGGGTCCATCATTTAAAGATGACATTCGTTGGCTTAATCCAAACCATTTAAAATGACTGAATGAATGTCACAGATGCGTGAGATTCCATGAATCCCCAGAAGGGACATATGGAGGAAAAACAGTTGAAGGTTTAAAAATAATACACATAGTTTCTCACACACAAATATGTTTGTGGTGCACACCCTGGCAGAACTTGTTACAGGAGTCAGACATGTAATACTGTGGAGAGCGCTGGAGCTGCCGGAGCTCAGATGAGATGCCAGTTGACAGTTGGTTATTTCTGGTGGGGCATTGTTTGTATTTAGTGTGTGAGGTAGAATCCACTCACATATGCCAGGCACATACCTGCAAGCCTGAGTGCAAGACTGCTGTCACCTTCTCCCACGGTTCCTTTTGGCAACACTCATAAAAGCTTGGAGAACACAAAGATAATTGTGTCTGTAAACAGCTCTGCTGGTTGGGAGCTGTGGCCCCCTTCCAACCATGAGCCTACTTGAATTAGCTGCAACTTTGCTAGAGTATGTGTGAGAGGATCATTTTATTTGTTGTCCTGGATGGGTCTCATGCAATTTATTTGCATATAAATTGCTCATGAAGAGTGTATTTCTAAAAAGTTATACAAAAAGAAGGATTTGGCTTTGTTTTTACGGGATTTTTTCATTGCCTTAATGGAGCCACAGAGGAATTTATTATATTTTTGAATATTAAAAGGAGAAAATTAACAAGGCTGAGTTGAAGCAACAAGGTTGTTAGCTTATAGTTCCTTTTTCACAAACAATACAGAGCCGGACAACTTTCTTTTGCAGTAGTGTTTCTGTTCCCCTGAAGAATGTAAGGCTACTATCTCCTTTAACTCTTTGATTTCCACTCGATCCTGAGGGGACTATCTTGCTTTTTAGCTGCTAAATGCTCACTGTGTCTATCTATGAAACAACATGAGAGAGAGAGTGAATGCTGTAAGACTCAAATGTGCTCTGTAGAGCTGAGGAGGACTGCAGAGTTTGGTGAAAAAACATTTTTAAGTGCTATTTTGATCTCTTTTTATCAAAACCATGTTAGTTGATTTGTATTGCCCGTTGCTCTAAGCTGAAAACACAACATCTGACATATAATAATTTCATGTGTGCAGCTGTGCTTCTGTGTCGACATTGTATTTGTGTGATTGTGACCGTATGTGAGGGCTTTGTTTTCATGCGTGTGCGTGGGTGCACATTCTTGTCACCCAGCCACACTCACCATCTATTATTGTGCGAGCTGTCTGGAGGATGTGAAATGTCTCCTTCCCAGTCCTTCTGTTTCTCTGGCTCTTCTAAACAGTTTACATGCCACACTGCAGTCCCCGAGGAATTCTGGAACAGTGCCAGAGTGAGCTCTCTCTGTGGGTGTCTGTTTTTACTTTTCCCTCTCTGACCCTGTCAGATTGTTTTCCAGAGAAGATGCTTCATAAATGTTCAAGTTCTCTTTCAATAGAGAAGATGTCTCATGAATCAGATTTTCTGGGTACTAATGTGACATGTGCTGTTTTACCCATTTGGAGTGAAATATCTCTTCAAATTCAGATAGAACGTTTTGGAACAAAAGAGAATATGCTTCAGTACAGGCTGTACCTTGAGCCAGTAGCAAATGATGCACAGGCATAAGGAAATGCACTCTTACATGTAGGGTGACCAGGTGTCGTACACAGCATTTTTATAATTGGTCCCGCAAAATTAGGAGATGTCCTGCGTTTGATTGACAGTTGCCCTTTTTAATACTCTTTTACTTCTAATACTACATCTAAGGCTTTTATCCCAACCCAGTCTCATGGCATTTCGTGTTCACCAACACGATTTTTAATCTATTGATTGGTGTTCACCAACACGATTTTTAATCTATTGATTCGTGTTCACCAACACGATTTTCCCCTTTTTTTCGTGTTGCACAGCACGATTTTAAAAGCAATGTATTTCTACTGGTAATGTGTTTCGTGCCTGCAGCACGTCTTTTTCTCCGGTCGGGTCGTGGAAGACAGTAAGCTGTGTGGTTCATAAAAACATGTTCTTACTCAATATCAGGCCACAATTATTGCTTTTATTTTAAATCGTATCATTTCGGACTTTTGTTGCCGTCTGTGAGGAAAATAAATGGGGCTCAGAGCCTCAGAATACTGAAATCTGTATTTTTAAATATTTTTTTCCTTCTAATTTGTTATTCTTTTCAAAATAACACACTGTTATTTACTCACCAATAACACACAATTATCCTTGCTTTTATTTATTGGTTTAATTCCATAATCTCGGGTTTTTTTGGCGTCCGTCAGGAACTGAATTTCAAAATAAAATAACCGGAAACAGACGTAGGCCTATAAGGGACATTTCGAGCATCATTGTGATTGTCAACATTTCTGAGTTTAAGATGGCCGAAGACACTACACTACCCATAATCCCCAGCTATCGTTTAGGACTACAGTCCCGTGATTAATCTTCAAGCTCTGGGATTGGATGTTGGAGTGGCAGTGCTCCAAGGTTACGCCGAGCGTCAAACAGCTGTTTGAAATGGAATGAAACCACGCCAGACTATCCAAAACTGGAACCGAACGCCCCCCCAGAACTACACATGCTGGTTATTGTGTTTCGCAAAATGTTCTATGGGACGTCTCGACTGAACATTTTCGTTTTTCCCACAATTAGAAGTTGCCAGTATTAAACACATTGGTGTTATCAAATGTAAAACATATAATTAATAAATGGGTGAAAATCGCTTGTATCCATAATGCGCAGCATTAATACCCACATGCAGCTCATTGTTACTTTGTAATTCTACTCCACTAGAATTCAGAGGTTAACCTGGTATTTTTACTCCACTGCACTTATTTGAGTTACTTTGCAGATTCTGATTAATGATGTGAAATATAAACAACCCTTAAATCAGACTTTACTTACACCTGAGTAAAATTCAGGGAAGGTGATTGTCAAGTGCCAACAATCAGGAGAGATATTTGATAGTTGGTGCTTGAGAAGACTAAACATGTATCTGCAATTGACATGAATGGAAACGAGTAATAAAGTATATTCATTACTCATTATTCTCTATTAATAATTAAAGACTGTATATTATGGCTATTTTGCACATCCCTTTCAAGATTTCAAGATTTTCAAAGGTTTATTGACATATCATATACACAACCACGGTGTAGTTATGCAATGAATGAACAACTTGGGTCACAGGTTCCTCAACAAGACATCTATCAATATGTGTGTACCTCCACCATTAAACTGTCATATTCTGCACATTTATTATTCTATCTACAATACATAAGAGTATAATTAATATGTATAATATCAGTTAAAATAAGTGCTTCAACATAGTTAACATTGCAGGAAAGCAATATATTAGACGTTAAGTACTTTGTCAGGCTTAATATTTATATGTAGATAGATACCCCCAACGTTTTTTTCTTATTTAAAAGAAGACCTTAATCTGTTATTTAATGTTTAAATAAAGGTTAATTCGTTTTTCTGTTTTGCACCTCCTCCTATTAATATCTTTGTACATCCTGCACTAACCTGTTTTATTGTAGAGATCACTTATAGTATCTTCTTGATTTTTTATATTCTATATTTCTATATTTATACTTTCCCCCTATGAAAGTATGTACTCTTAATAATTTTTTTAACAAATATAACACATAAAAACAATAATTCAATAACGTGCTTTAACCACTAGCCGGTGCACACAAGGTACACACAGCCATAATAACTTTGTATTATTAGTGTAGGACACTTGTACAACATCTGAAGATGTGTAGTTTTATTCATGCTTTCACATAATTTTACAGAATATTGCTATACTATTTCAGACTCAGTATTTACATTCTTACATTCAAAGAAAATCAGTAATATCTTTAAAAACTACAAGTCCTTTTATATCAGCTGTGCACCGTTATGGTGTAAATATAACCTATCTGTGAATTAGATCAAATGTAAAAGTCAGCCGAATTAGCGTTGATACTGCAAGGAGACGTATTGTGTGAAGAGAAATTGAAGATGTTGTTTAATTGTTGATATATTTATATTATCAAGTATTCAGTTTCGGCGGCATTTCTTCAGTTTTTCCAAAGGTCTTCTCATCAGGGCTCTATAAATAAAGAACTATGGCAGATCTGTAATGTAATGCAGCCGAACCGTGTATTACAATGCCGTTATGTGATGACTTTCAAAGATTAAAGCAAGAGCACTCGGAATTAAGTATTATTTTATTCTTTTAAAATGTTTTCCAGATTTCATATCATATAAACACCAAATCCCAGCATGCATTGCGGCTAAAACATCCAATCAGCGAGCTTAAACCATAGCTGAGGATCTTGGGTAATCGCTCGAAATGCCTACGTCTGTTTCCGGTTATTTTTATTTTGAAAAGTTCCTGACGGACGCCAAAAAAGCCAGAGATTATGGAATTAAACCAATAAATAAAAGCAAGGATAATTGTGTGTTGTTGGTGAGTAAATAACAGTGTGTTATTTTGAAAAGAATAACAAATTAGAAGGAAAAAGATTTAAAAAATACAGATTTCAGTATCCTGAGGCTCTGAGCCCCATTTATTTTCCTCACAGACGGAAACAAAAGTCCGAAATTATACGATTTAAAATAAAAGCAATAATTGTGGCTTGATATTGAGTAAGAATATGTTTTTATGAACCACACAGCTTCCGGTCTTCCACGACCCGACCGGAGAAAAAGACGTGCTGCAGGCACGAAACACATTACCAGTAGAAATACATTGCTTTTAAAATCGTGCTGTGCAACACGAAAAAAAGGGGAAAATCGTGTTGGTGAACACGAATCAATAGATTAAAAATCGTGTTGGTGAACACGAAATGCCATGAGACTGGGTTGTTCATCCAATGGCTGTTTTGAAAGCAAGAAGGGGCTATCCCCATTAGCTGCGTCAGATGTCAATCATTTAACATAAACATAAATGTGTACTTACTGAATGGGTGTATCCAGTGGAAGGCGATTCCCGGAGAGCTTTCTGAGAGATTTGCCAGATTTTTTTTTCTTTTTCGTGCATTCAAATCAAATCAAGTTTTATTTATATAGCACATTTATAAACGATTTTTGGTCGAGCCAAAGTGCTGTACATATAATAAAAATAGCCTACAGTAAAGACACTTTACAGCAAATACAACAGCACAGATTGTTCAGAATATCAGTATGAGAAAAACATTCCTTAGAATATTTGCATTGCGGTCAATACAATTTGAAGGGACGACCACAAAAAATGCCAGGCTCATAAACTGAAAACAAATAATGAACTTGTACCACACTGTGCAGCAATTATATCCTAAAGGTCATCTGACTGTGGGAGTAAGCTATCACTTTCAGACTCAAAGGTGCAAAAAAATAATGTGGACGATTGTTTGTTGGAAAAATTACTTGCATAGTTTGTGCAAAGAAATCCATCCATAGCAAAGCGTTGTTATTAATATTTATAAGTTGATAGTTTCAATACAAATTAAAAAATGGTAGGGTTGTGTTGAAATCTCTTAGCTTCGCTGTAACTTCTCCCACATTGTCCCACACCAACATACTCTTTGTCCCACATCTGGCTTTATTGACAACTGGTCACCCTACTTACTTTCCACGACCAGAGCATTCATATGGTTCTGATTAGCACAGGTTTGAGGGTGCTTTTTCATACAGAAAAATCTGCAGAACCTGAGGCACAGGGCAAATTAGAAAGTTATAAGTGCCCTAACATTGTTTCACAGATTTGTAATACCCCGCAGTACCTGGTTGTCAACAAATCACAAGACTCATTCTCAGGCACATTTTTATTATCTGGAGCTTATAGACATGACTTGCATTGCTTCGAATAATTGCCTCGTGTATCATTTACTTTTCAAATATTTCCAGATTATAGTACACCCTTATTTCCAAGATACATTCAGTGCCCTATTGTAGTGTAGGCACACTGTGCATGGCATGCTCTGTGCCTTAATTCACAAAAATAAAAAGGCCCAAAGGCTCAGGTTCTGAAAGAAAAGCGGAGGTGCGTTCCATACAGTGCAAAGATGGGGGCGGAAGATGCTGAATTCACACTGTTTTCAGTTGTATGAATCCAACGCAGAACTGTATCATATTCGACAATGAAAAGCCTCTCCAGTTTTTTTCTTTTTTTGTGCGGGCCAATTTAACACCGTTTCCTGGGCAACAGGGAACGGTGTCAACACCCGCAGGTAGCATAATTGTGTTCCTCCTACATTAGCATATGTGTTCTTGTTTTTGTTCCTATTTTTTGGATCTGTAGATGGAAAAAAATATCAAACATCCCCTTTTTTATTATTCATTCATTAACCAGGATTAAATATATTTGTGTTTTTTGTGTCAATTGTTCATGTTATTACATTCATTTTACTCTTGTGTTGTGGATTGAGATTGTGAGGTGACAAAAAATGTTGTGGTGTTGACCACATTTGAACTGGGTTCCCCAAAGTGTTTGTCACTAGTTATGTTTAGTATACAGTGGTGCAGGAATGGGTCCTAAACCCCGGGAATGAGTCAGCATTTTAACATTCTATGTATTTCTATTTGAGAATTACACAGATAAATCATTTCTTTAACCATATTGCTCAGAAGACATGCATACATGCAGTTTGTGTAACACTGGAGATTATGTACATGTAGTACCGCTATCTAATTGTTCTGAAGTAGAACTGTACGGTGGCCAACAGGTGTAAGCGCAATACAAGGGCCTAGAACATTTACAAATATACAAATACAAATGTGCCATAACTACAAATGCTGCACAATTTTCCTCTAATTGGAGAAGATGTTTCTTCATTTGCATGTGTTTTGATACATTTGTGTTTTT